GACAGGTCACTGGTTCTGCCTTCCTTCGTCTTGAAGGACGTGACAAACCCTACTTGCTTTGTTTGGACTTCTCGGGTCTCTATGAATTTTGCCAGCGCCTCCAAACGAAGCTTCAAAGTGCTTCCATTCACCTGTGCAGCAATCGGTACTGTACTCTGCCAAGAGTGACTTAGCATTTTAACAGCATATTTAAACAGCATATTTAAACCATTCAACAATCCCAAAACACATTTCTTTGCAAAAGGATTTACAATCAAGGCACTTCCACATTCCATCAGTGTTTTTGCACTCTTTTGAGGCACTTTGTGTGGACAACAACCACAGACAGCAACCAGTGCTTCCAAAAGTACTTACATTCAGCCTGATTGTAACATCTATCCCCATGCGGCATGCATATTGATTGATACTTTCAGCAACTCCAAACTCATAAGGACTTACATACACGATTGTCATCCACCGCAGGTCAATCTCATCCTGCGCGAACGTTACATATTCTCAACTAACCTAAAAGAACCGTCGATCATCACATACATATGTATATATATATATGTATCGTAAAACCGTAACATATTGCATCATATTGCAATATATTGCAATTATATGTAATTGTCAACACCTGGAGCCCCAGCAGCATGGTAGGCCAACCAAGCTATCGTGGTGCCATGACCCACAACATCACATACCTACCAACCACGTACCGGCAAGAAGCTACTAGTAACAAAGGGCATCGCTACTAGGAGCAAGGATGCTACTAGGGGCTCCTGGCCTTAGTACCAGTAACAAGAAGCTACTAGTAACAAGGACCCGTCGAGTTCCCGGCGCCTCCTGCTCCTCGCAGCGGTTCAGCGCTCCTCCCCTCTCGATCCCTGCCAGGGACTCGTGGAGGATGCGCTGCTGGGTCTCCACACGTGCCAGCCTGGTTGCACTCCGGACCCCGACCGCAGGGGAAGTAGAGGACGCTAGGAACGGAGCAAAGGGCATCGCTACTAGGAGCAAGGACGCTACGAACGGGGCTCCTGGCCATACTACTAGGAGCAAGGACGCTACTAGGAGCTTTTGGGTGTGCATGCTGTTCTTTTTTTGAGCAGCTCAGTCCACAGTAAGTACAAGCTGCTACAGGGAACAAAGAAGGCCGACACGGCCGACACAGCTCAGCTCCATGCTCGGGACACATATTTTTGTTGGGGGGCGCAGTGGCAGTGATGTGAAGGCTGGAGCGTTCCCACATGAAATCATGGTGACCCACCAGCGGCATCGTGTCCAACAACGAAAGCACCCAAAAAGCGTTCCAGCACCCCAATGCAGCAAGCTTCCAGCAAACAAAGAAACACACAAACAACAAACTGGTGGGCCATTAAAACTGATGAGAGATCCCAACAAAAGCTGGTGGCGGAAAAAGATCGGCCTCTCAGCCAAGTCTAAGATGCCTTCCACTTTGATGCGGCCGTCGACGAAAAGCTTCTGGGTCCTGAACCGGGACACGAAAAGGAACACGACCCACATGATTTGTAATTGCTGTCGTGAGACACGCATCAGCACCTGCCAATTTGGATCATTTGGTCGATTATGGTTGATTGATGATCAATGATGATGGATCATGGTTGATGGGCCTGCCTAACATCCACATGATCAACGTGCCACTACCACATCCTCTTGATAGAGCACCGCTCCACAAAAATGACCTACACACACAATCCATCGGGAAAGCAACATACTCCCAAGGGAACCAAAACAAGATCTCGCATCAAAACCTGTCAATTTCCCAGTCAAGCCAAGCTGTTCCGTGTCAGACAAAGATGAACGGTTTTTCTCACTCAGAGTGAGCTGTCAGCGATAAGGCCTATGCCACTCCACCTATTTCCTATCTGGGGTTGGTCAGTTCCTACCTTCTGCCGATGGGCCAGGAGCCCTGGCCTAGGGTATAGGGAAGAGATCATTGCCATCGTCCTGGCCGTATCCGACGACGGCGCACGGCGCCTGCGTGCGCCCATCGGCGAGAAGGCTTCGCTCATGGGGCTGTTCTGCCAGGTGTCGATCAGCGAGGCCACGTGGCCCACCTTCGCTGGTGAGTCCTGATGACGGAAAAGATCGGAAAAGGGGGGAGGTGAAAGGTTTGGTCCCAAGTCTTTTGTCTCGTATCTTCATGAAAGTGAGATAGCTTTCAACACCCACATACACTTCTGCAACCAACTGTAGGAGTTGCGCCATCAAAGCAGGATCTGAAGCAGAAGACGGTGGATCTTCAGCCTGCTAGTAGTGCGGTTGCGTGCACTTGGGTAGCACATTTCCTTAGCCTTAGGTTGTTGAGCTACCAGGTCTGTGATTTTGGTCGACCACCCCTCCTGTGTTGGTGTGGCATAGGTGGCGTCAGCCTCTGGCACCAGAAGTCGTCCCAAACCCTCAATGACAGGCATGGCACCGGTCGGGCGAGACGGAGGAGGATCTTCAGTTCCTGCTGTGGTTGGTCATGTCTTCTCCTACTTTGAAGTTTGGATTGTTGGATGCTGATTCAGTTGGAATGGTCCTTCTTGCTTTTAACATAACATACTTGGACATGTTCAGTCACAAAGTTGACAGTGGCACGTCTCCACGGAGTCACACAAGCTTTCTTGATCACCAAGCACAAGCACCCTGTGAACCACCAGCATGCAAGGGTCCCAATGTTGTGTACAACTAGGATTCGCTTTGTGTCTGCACTCTCTAAAGTTGTGTTGCTCCCTAGCTGAAGAATTCCGCAACGAATTCCGCAACTGACATCGTGGCTCGAAGCATGCTCCTTCAACTGATGCGTATCAACTCCTGTCGCTTGAACTCGTGTCGCTACACCGGGAGACCCTCGGCTGGCTGCGGTCCAAACGGCCCGATCCAAAAGATGAACGGTCCGAACGGCCTGGTGTAGGCCCTGCTAGGCCCTGCTAGATACTCCCTGGAATGATCATGGAAGTGGAATATGGATGAACATGGGTGGTGTTTTTTTACCACTTCCATGATGATTCAAAGGAGCTCAAATTTATCTTGTGTAACACATCATTGATGATTCAATTCATTGTTGTTTTCTACTTGTGTAGGTCAACCCATGTAAATCCTGGGTGCCATCAACCCTGTTGAGCGTCAAATGCTGAATTCAGCTTAATAGCTTAATAAGTTTGCTTTGTCGATCACATCTTGCAAGTTGATGCCACGATTTGGTCAGCCACTCTTTTCATGTAAACATGCTCTCCTCTCTGAATTCACAACGATAACACTGGGGCTTACAGTCGATAATAACAAACATCTATAATCGCATCGAAGCAATACTTGGCAACACCTCACACACAATCAATCTTGCTACATGGCATTGGCCCAAACACTGTCAAGCTGCGAAACGAGGGCTTTTGATCGGCTTGCATGGAGGACCCCTACGGCTGCCATCACACACGCACTTCATCCACAAAATCACCTTGCCCGAGCCAAACAGGTCTTCCCTAAAACATAGACCCACGGTCGCCGAACTTCCCAACTCCCACGGTTGCTGTGGATGGCGTACTGCTGCCAATGCTGCATGGTGCTGTGGACTCGAGCACGAACTGGAAGCCTACATCGCGCCCAGGCTACTGGTGCCGGGTGGAACTGGGTGATGAAGTCGGGTGACTTCCCTTCCTTCTGAACTCGGAGAGCGGTCACGCGGTGAGTGGGTAGAGCTTGTTGTGGAAAGGTTTCGGGCGCAACGCTCTCTTTGGTTGTTGTCTCAAAGAGTGCAAGCAACCGAAGGGTTTTGGTACACCCTGAGTCTCGATGGTCTTGCAAGATGTTCTCACTGAAGTCACTCAATTCGATTGCATGTTGATGCCTCTTGGTTTTGAAACACAAGGACTTGGCCTGGTCTTGGTCTCCCTCTTTTAGCAAACATTTAAGACACATGATCATGAGAACTGAAGGGAGTCAGTCTCAATTGATGTCATGGTCGGTCGATTTTTTGTCTCTGTCTTTCGGTTAGAATATCCCAAAGATTCCCCAGAGCGGAAGCTTGAGCAACCGCCAAACCGTGCAAAGACTAATTCAGTAAAGAGCGTTCGTACATGTCAGGAATTGGGATAAAACAAACCTGCAAAAGCCATCAAAAGCGATAGCCAGATTTCCGCAGCTTTTGGATATGTTCAGTTGTTGACATTGTGGCAATAACTTGCAAAGGCGATAACCTTGCTGAATCACTTGACAAATCTTGACAGTACGTTTTGGCAAGGGCTCAGATGTTTTAAGCACGCCTACACCTGCAAAACGGTTTTCACCCGGACCAACTCTGGAAGCAGAATCAAGAAATCCAATACGGCCGTTCCCACACATAGAGCTCTGATCGTCCTCTGGCAGTTCCGAGTCTGGGAAACACGGGTATAATATGGTATAATTAATAGTACAGAACAAATTCCCAAACATGAACAAACAGGTGTTCACCGTCAAACTGGGCCGACCTGGTCAACTCCTCAAGACCTGTCGAAGTTGAAGATCCAAAGATCCCGCCATGCCCCAGCCCTGTTCTTTTAGGCCAACATGTCCCAAACTCCCAACCTTCTTCAGCCCAAAACCAAAACATCAAGTACATCTACTACAGCTCCCAGCAGAACATACCCTCCAATCAGGGTGCGTCCTCAAAGGACGCTTTCACACGAAGGACGCTGCTTGATAGGGCTCCGCACGACCCGGAGGACGCGGAGGATGGCGCCGTGTCCAAAGGCGCAGGCCTTCGACCAGCTCTGTCAGACGAACCGTGCCTGTCGGAGTCAGAAATGCTCTGACTATAGACATCTATATATAGACTTAGTCGGTGGATCCCAAACATTCCGAGTTTCGGGAGATGTTCCGACAAAGATTCGGGATTCGGTGCCTAAAAGTGGTGGTGTTTGGGCGTCGAAGTCCTGCTGATGGACTGCCGATAAGCCTTCAGTACCGACTGGAGGGAAGTCCCATTTGCTTCGACCTGTCATATCCCGCAGAAAGCCAGACAAATCATATCAAATCATAACAGTTGGACGGTCGGATTCTCATGTCGGGTGTTTGTGCGAAGAGAAATGCACCAACCGTGGATCTGACCCGAGAGATGTCACCTGTCTGGGCTCGAGAGCCCTCGAACATGAAGCAAACTGGACGGTGAAGCACACGTTTCAACCTCAACCAGTCCAGTTTGGCAGGTCTGAGTTTGAGCCAATTCAGGTCCCTCAAATCTGACGTGCCAATCAAAGGAGTGGCAAAGAACCACTGAACTTCCGATGTGTGATCTGGCACTGGGATGAACTGGTCGATCAGTGAAGGAGTCCAGGAGTCCTGCATCCCCTAATGTAAGCTTTTTGTTGTATTGAACTAATAACCCCCGCCTCTGGCCCCTACCAGAATGACTTTACAATGTTTTACATCTCCATATGGGGAATTTGATCAATCAAAAAATATCAGGAAAAGGAGATTTGGGACTGCCATGAATAGCAGACTTCCTCCACCTTCCCAGGCCCCGACAGGTTCGGCCAGGCCCCCAAACGGAGGCGTGATCTTCTGGATCACTGGCGCAGGGTTGGAGAGGAAGACCTCAATGGGTGGGGAACCCGCGCATGTGATGATTAGAGAGGCGAAAAATTGCAAAATGAGATGTTGCTTCAAGGGTTTGATCCGTTCTTTATGCTCTTGGACCATCACAAGTGATCTTCAATCCGTTACAAGTAATCCGATCTCGACAGCGATGTACCGACCTGAATGGAACATCACCAAAGCTTGGTACGCGCCGATTCTCAGGATCGCTGCCTTTTGAATTCCCAGGATCGCGGCCCTTTGAGTTCCCACAAATCTTGTCTCCATGGTTTGGTCTTGATGAACTAATGTCGCCATGAGCACGATGACCAGATCTTTGACACGTCACTGGCATCTTCTTCTCCTTGTAGTAGAGCAGCACATCTGTCCTCGTTTGCCGTTAACGGTTCGGCTATGTTCGGCTCCTATTTATGGTTCAAGGAGCATAAATTCCTGCAGAGGATCCTTCAAAATTCATAGTCCATATCACAATTTATGACAACCCCCAAGACGACCCATGGCCCATGGCACTGATGTTACAAGTCTGCCTGCTTTCATGTGGGGATTGAGACACATAGATTTGGGGGAGCAACTGGGATTTTTCGCGGCCAAACATAGGAGACTGGATATTGCGCCTCTGGATTATGAGGTGGATGTGCCTGACATTCCTGAATCTTCTTGTTCAACTTCCAAAGAGTGAGGCTGTGAAGGTGAGACCCCAAACTTCTTGCAGGCTCAAACCAGGTCCTGTAGTCCTACCAACTACAACTAGGATCTTGAGCAAGATTCTGGTCCAGAATGAGATCATGCAAACATGTATCGGCAACATTGGGCAACTATAAAGGTCTGAGGTGTTGCCCGCGGATCTGGTCAACATGCCTCAAGCCTCAAATCATCCTATCCTGAGAACATATTGGATGTCCTCTCAGATTTTTGGGGATGGGATGAACACATCACTCCCTCTACCCATGTTTCTTCCTTTTCACCTTCTAAGGAACCACTGGCACCATTTCGCCGCGCATTTGTCACAGGGCGTCTTGTTCGACGGGGCGTCTTCCACCCGCAACCGGCCCGCGCCGTTTCAGCACTCCTCATGGATTTGGACAGTTTCACCTCAGGAGACGGTGGATCAAACGGGTGTCCGTCTCCGAGGGTGTCGAGAGTGGTGGGTAGGCCAGCCAGGACATGTTGTCCAGAGTGTAGGATAGCGCTCCTGGTACAGGTTGTTCATGTTTCTTTGTTCAATCCATAAGTCGCACTGTATGATTTATCATTGCACACCATTTATATCCATTTGCCATGGGACGAGGCATCCGTACGTCGATTTGCAATATTATTGTAGCAATGAGGATCTTGGAAACTTTGTAAACGTGAAAACACTGAAGACTCTTGCATCCAACTGGACGGTCGATTGGTCGACTTTGAACTTCCTCCGAAGACCTCCGGAGATTGCTTGGATGGTGTCTCTTTGCGGCCCCAACTGGAACTAAATGTACCACCAAGTTTGCCCAGGTGTCTTCGTCCGGCGTCTGAGGCGTCTACTTTTCAAAGATCATCTGAACAGGTGTCGTCCTGCTTTGGATGACCCAGGCCCCGACTTCAGTCAAACATCGATTCTCAAGTTTCGGGATCCGCAGCTTTTCAGTCTGAAGTCCGCATTCCGCACCGCACGTCTGACTTGCACAGGTTCGTTTTCAACCGACACCAATTCGATTTCGGACAAGAAAAGCGCATTCTGGTATCTTCATGGATAGCTAGTAGTAACAAGAAGCTATTAGGAACAAGTGCCACGCTAGTAGTAACAGGTGCCTTACTAGTAGTAACAAGAAGCTGATCTAAAGTCTAGAGATCGGTCGACCTTTGCAGAGGCCATCTGAAGACCACCGATATATCGATACCGATGAGTGGAGTACTC